GATGCGGGGCTTGATCCCAGGACCCTGGGATCATGACCTGAGCCGAAGGCAGACGCTTAACCGACTGAGCCACCCAGGCGTCCCCCCAGAGCTCTTTCTTGGGATGGCGAAAGCTTTCCCAGAAGCCCTCCTAGCTGACTTTCCCACAGATTTCATTGGCCAGGGCTGGGTCACATGTCCTCTCCTGACCAATCACCAGCAGGGAAATGCGGGTACGCTAATTAACCAGGCCAATCTTCCGGCGGCGGGGGGTGCAGCCTCCCTGAGGTTCATGCTCCATGTGGGAGGGGTTGTCACCTGAGCAAAGTCAAATTCTGGGAGGAGGTAGTGGGAGAAAGCACGAGAACTGAGGTGTCCTGGTCAAAGTTATGGCTGGCTGCAGACAGGTGAGGGCGACCGTTCTAGATCATCCAGCCACCAGTCTGCAAATGCACCGATCAGTCAGGCTGGCCGAGACCAGAAGCCTTGCCTCAGAATCATGAGCTAAATAAAGGGATCTTTGTTTTAAGCCACTGAGTTTTGGGGTGTTTTGTTGCACAGCAAAAGCTAACTGATAGGGACAAGTCAGCCTCCTCTCTCTGTACCCAGGATGGCCGGGGACAGGGCCCCAAGCTTTCTTCTTCCCCCACTGGCTTCCAACAGACAGTTGGAACAATTTGTGTGGACAAATTAACAGCCCCAGTTCCCTCACAAGCTGAGTGTTCTCGCAGGTACCAGTGGAGTGAGGGGGAGGGACACAAACTCTAAAATGGGGGTGCCAAGTGGCAGGTACTGTGCCAACCTTTTATCTACCTTACACAGAGGGACTCGTTTAATTCTCACGGCAACCCTAGAAGGTAAATACGCTTGTCATTTTATAGATAAAGTGGTTTAGAGAGCAGAAGACTCGGCCCACACCACATAACAGAGAAACTCACCTGGTTTCCTGGTTTTGCTTTGAACCAGGACCTTTTTTTTTCTTTTTTTAAGATTTTATGTATTTATTTGAGAGAGAGAGAGAGAGCATGAGCGGAGGGGCAGAGGGAGAGGGAGAAGCACACTCCCCTACAAGCAGGGAGCCCGATGCGGGCCTCAAGCCCAGGACCCTGAGATCATGACCTGAGCTGAAGGCAGCGGCTTAACCACTGAGCCACCCAGGTGCCCCCTGAAGCAGGAACTTTTGACAAGGCGGCTCAGAGGCAGCTGCATGAAAACTGGCACAGAAAAATGCAGAATCGACTCTCACCAAGTAATGCATGTGGCCAAACCCCTGACGCAATTAGTGGGGACTTTCATGTTTTACTTATATTCATATAATGATCATTGTAAAACTTTTACAATATCCAATGTAATACATATATATTACTACAAGTGAGAGGACTATAGGAAATTTAATTGGGGTTTTTCTCTATAACTGGGAGCTAAACACAAAAGATAATATTGTGGTCTGCCCGATTATTTATTCGCTTTAGCAATTCAACCGCTATTTTGAATGATGGCTACAGGCAGGCATGGTGCCAGATGGACAAAAACGTGGTCCCTCCGCTCAGGGACTCAGTCTAAGAGAGAAGCCAGATGTTAAACAGGTAACCACACAAATTAAGAAGCTAATTACCAGGGCGCCTGGGTGGCTCAGTTGGTTAAGGGGCTGCTTTCTGCTCATGTCGTGATCTCAGGGTCCTGGGATCCAGCCCCACGTGGTCGGGGGGGGGTCTGCTCGGCAGGGGTCTGCTTCTCCCTCTCTCTCAAATAAATAAAATCTTAAAGAAAGAAAGAGAGAAAGAAACTAATTACCTCTGTGTTAAGTAAGTTCTTTGTGGCTAAGGTGAGCGTCACCACATATTCCAGGTGCTCCCTTACCTGCCTGCCCCCGCTTACACTCACGTGATTAATTCTGACCAATGGTGTGTGTGTAGAAGTGCCCTCTGTGGGAGATCCCTTCTGGGCTGAGGCCACTGTGAGCTGGTGGACCTCCACCCTCTCATTCCTAACACAGCCACGGTTCCCTTAGCTACGAGACGGAGGAGGACCACCAGATCCACACTGGGTTTTAGTGAGCAAGACATGAAGTTTCCTGGGTGAGGTCTTTGTGATTCGGGGTTTGTCTGTTGGGCAGTTAGGGTTAATGACCATGATTAAGTATAATTTGCCCCAAAGGAGGGGAGAAAATTTCTCTCCCCCAGTAACTAGGCTTTGCTGCATTACAAACACCAAAACTTAGCGGTCCCTGCTTCTCTGGGTCAGCAGTTTGGGCCCGCTAGAAGGGCACGCAGGCTCACCCCTGGCTGTGTGTTGTCCGTCAGTCTGTCAGTCAGCAGGCTTTAAGGAGGCTGGGCTGGGTGGCTCACCTCTGTTCCACAAGGTCTCAGCCTCCAACAGGCTTAGGCCGGGCCCCCTCATGTGGTGGTCTTGGCTTTCAAAAAAGCAGTAAGAGAGGACAGACGCCAATGTGCACGCTACGCTGGTGTCACATCAGCAAATGTCCCATTGGCCAAAGCATGTCACACAGTCAGATTCAGGAGGTGGGAAAAAAGATCCTCCCTCTTGATGGGAGGAGCTGAAAATAATTTATGGCTTTTTATTTACTTATTTATTTTAATAGACAGCACGAGATATACTTGATCAAATAAGTTGACCACTGTGTACCCAAAACTGACCCTGCGGGCTGTGTGTCCCTGGACAAATTGCTTGGTGTCTCTGGGCCCCAGCCTGTTCCGCTCCTCTCTGTGTGGCTAAGCCCCACCCCACCTTTGAGGCTGGACCTGGAGACTCTGTAAGACCGGGCCAGCCCTCCTCTGTACCTCTGCAGCCGGAAGAACAGAGTCTAGATGTGGTTGGTCAGTCCCCTGGGATGCTTGTTTACAAGGCCGATCCCTGACCTCTCCTGACCTGTGAGTCAGACTGCGTGGGGCTGTGCATCTTTTTTTTTTTTTAATTTTTTTATTCTTATGTTAATCCCCATACATTACATCATTAGTTTTAGATGTAGTGTTCCATGATTCATTGTTTGTGCATAACACCCAGTGCTCCATG